TCACTAGAAATTTGATAATTCTAAGTGCATATTAAAAGCGAAAAAAAATTAGTGCACATTTTAATTTTTGAAAGTAAAATTAATTGGCTGACTTTATCAGGTAATCTTATGAAATTGAATATCTTGCCTTGAAAAAAAAGGAAAATACATAATTATATGTTACTGTTTGAAATATATATCACAGTACAGTTTTAATTACTTATCTGAAACAAGTAACTTGGGGTTTAAGGGAAGACCATAAAACAGTGAAGGTACCTTAAAGAGAAACATATCTGCTGTTTATGAAATTATGTTTATGAGTGTGTCATATTGTGTAGGTATATCAGTCATTTCTCAGCTGTGGTTCATCACTAGTGCCCCCTAGTGGTAGGTAATAGCTGAGCTGTCTCCACTGTTACTCCCCCTTGCTGCAGTATCCTCATAGCCATGAGGAATGGAGGGTAAGGCTACATACCATAACATACACAGCAGATATTTTTCCTTAAGGTACCTTTATTGTATGTTTATCATTATATCGTCAACCAAAATCAATGATTTTCCGGTATCAAATAAGATTGAAATGTTGATGATTGTATCGCTGTTTCACTGTTGACCTTATTTTCCTCTCAACCAATCAGAATGCAGTACGACACAACCTCAGTCTACATAAGTGCTTCATGCGGGTCGAGAATGTCAAAGGCGCCGTCTGGACTGTCGACGAAATTGAATTCTACAAACGCAGACCACAAAAAATGAGTGGGTACGTCAGGCCATGGTGTGGTGAACATGCTTCTATGACATCATTGCTGTGTCTTTTTTTTTCTAGGGACCCTGGCAAAATGGCTTATTAGATGACAGATACTCTGATTTATTTATTTTTTTTTTGTTCAAAAGATGAATTTGAAATTTATTATAACATGCACTTTTGGATAGGTTGCTTTAAGCAATTGGCGGAAATTTAAGACATTGCAGTTGTGATACGATTCTTGATAAAAAAACATTTTTCAAAAACACATGTGATCCAGATTATGTGTCATCTAATCAGTGTATGTTGCAGACTGGTGTTACTCTGTCCACCCCCTGCTCTGCTGTCTAGACCAGGGGAGGGGGTGGGAACTGCTATTTAAGCTGATCACACTGATGATGTGTTGTTGTTTATTTTTTATATTTCCTCACACTGCACAGAATGCTATACGCACCAATCTGTCTCTGCATAAATGTTTCGTACGGTACGAGGATGATTTCGGCTCCTTTTGGATGGTGGATGATATAGAATTTATCAGGCGCCGTCACCTTACCAGGGGGAGGCCCCGAAAATCACATGACTCCAGCGATTTCACTTACGCACAGTAAGGCCCTTTTCTCCACTAACATACTCTTACTACTCTAGCCTGGCTGTAGATATACTAGTCTAGACTCTGTGCACCATCACCAAAAATATTACTTCCTCCAGACCCTGGAGAGCTTTGCCCAAACCATGGTTTTGATAATATCCCCTCCCCCCTCCTCCCCTTCAGCACCCACCCCCCTCATTTTAACCCTTTGAGTTCCAAACACCATGTTGGGAATCTGGTTTTGTAAATCCCCGCTACTTTGCAGCTTCAGTTTTGTTTTAGAATGAAGAAAAAGTTGTTTTGCTTTTTTTTTCTGCGGTATCTTGATGTTGTTGTTGTTGTTGCCAACTTGCTTGCTCAGCCTGATGGGATTTCACCCAGTCCCCCAACCCACAAGCTTTCTATCTCTAATTTCATTAACATTGGAGTTTTTTCAGTGGATTGAAGATGCATGTTTAATTTTCGTATATTTTATTTTTGCAAAGATCTTTATTTTGGCTGTTTTGTATACTCTTTTAACCTTCATTCCTTTGCTTGATGGCTCTAATTTAATAATAAATGATCATGTGAAAATCTGGGCTTCCTCCTAGAAATGGTGGGGCATGCCAACGAACAGAGAAATCTCCACAGATACAATTGAAAGCGGAACTTTTATGCTTGACAGTCAGTGTTTTTTCTGTAGGAATTCATGTTTTTGTTTATCAGTCCAAATAGTTTTCATATAGGTTAATAGGCTGGAAAAGTCTGCTGATGGTTTAGTAGGTGCATGCCTTTTATTTATTTATTTAAAAAATTAAGAAATGATTTTGCCATTATTCCTATAAGCCATCAGCCAATGGCAGAGCCTCTCATTACCATATTACCATGGTAACGCCATCCCTGGCACATTATTGGTTACCTTCCGTCACATGACATGTTTGGTGGTGGTGGACTTTGTAGTGCATAGCAGTAGCATAGAAAGTTGTTTTAGGTAGACAATAGAGATGAAGTCAACAAGTCCATGGAAAAATGTTGTTAAATTCTTGAAGGAAAATTGTGTTGTATTATGATCAAAATACTATAAGAACATTTATAGGTACTGAGTGTAGGTCATTGTAGTGAAGCTGATGTTGTCTTGTGGTTATATTCAATAAAAGATTGGATTCAAGTATGTTTATTAAAATTATAAATGATGTTTGAGAATGACATGAGATTAGTATTGAGTGGCATTGACAAGCACTACAAGTTTCACCACCTGATTTTATTTATATGCCCTAGCATCAAAATCTACTTAATGTGATATGTACCTTGTTCATCTTGTTTAGAAACTGTTACTTTTGGATTTAAGATACGTACTGAAAATTTTTATAGGAAGAGTTTGAGACAGAATCAATATCTGTAATGATGAATTTGAAGGTTATGATGCTAGGACAATTTATGTAGTAATATAGCAGTTAGTCACCATGTTAGATGTAGGAAGGTATGATTAGAACTGTGACAACTTTAACTGAAAATAATCAGTGCTCATCTGGCAACCAGTGGGTCACCTGTGACCTCATTTAGACAATTTGTGGTTTAAATTAGCTCTGTTCTGAATGCACTGTCAGTAGTAGATGTTGATTGGAAAGCAACTTGACTAGAAATGCTGCTAATGAAAGAAAATAAGAAATCAAAATCAACGGCTTTGAATGCAGATTTACGATGTTAAAAGATTATGATTCTGTGGGAAAAATAATATTGGTGTGGCAGAAATATTTAATTGTTTTTCTTCAGTACAAAGACATCAGATTTTTTTTTTGTCCAATAGATGGAGGAAATTCTAGAACAGTTCCAGTTTCTAATTTTACATCTCTGTCATGACTTATGAATCGAGGAAAGACTGAAATATGCGATTGATTCATATATTAAAGGTTACTTAGTTACTGTAGTTTTTAAGACTAGTGCTTTTATAAGTTATTGAGTCTCTATGTTTTGAAACATGAAGTCAGTGAATTTTGAAAGTACATCCAAAGGTTAGTTTGCCAGATGAGCACTGTTTGCCATCTTATGTTGTCAACAGTTTCAACTTCCTTGAAAGTAAAAAACTTTTTTGTCACGGAAATTTTTACTCAGTAGATGTTTAATTTGATAAAGTATGTTACTATTTCCCCCATACCACAACATTTACAATTTTATAACTTTGAAGACATTTGGCTACAGATAGATTCAAAAACCTGAAGTGTGATATTTGACAGAATCTTAACTTGTTGACAGCATAACAGCCAGCCAGTTGTGTGTTATAGATAGATTTTAATTGAAGAATATGTCTTGAACGATTTTGAAGTAGAGGAACATCACCCAATATTTCATTGATCAGGATACCTTTGAAATAATCCAATGTTGTGAACAGTGCTCAGTTGCTGTACAATGGTCAGTGTTTGTTCCTGGAAACATGACCAGAAGCATGACATGAGAAACATGACAGAAAACATGACATGGGAAACATGTCATGGGAAACATCATGGGAAACATGGTGTCCATGAGCTAATATCATCACTAGTCAAGTATATTATGTATATTATATGAACAGTCTTGAAATGGCACTAGATTCTTTGTACCCAAGTGGTCCAAAACATTCTTTGAATAATGACACTTTTCGTGAAATGAAGTATAGGCAGCTCTTCTGGTCATGTTTTCAGGTGAACAATATTTTAGTAAACACTGATGATAAACAGAGTTCTTATTGACTTAGAGACTTAATGAGAAGAGTTATGTGCTGCATTTTTATCCACCAACTGTGGGCCTTGATCACTTGAATGGGGATTTCATGCTTGTATGTGACTCCAAGGAAACAGGACAATATTGTAATTCTTCGGAATCATAGTGTGTGGCTCTTGTTATTTAGTCTTTAAGTCAGAAACAACTCTGTTTTATCGTCTTATCTAGAGACATAGGCATTTGTTGATGTTGTGTACATGTTGTTATTTTATCATCAAAGTGATGTATGGTGTATGTTACTCTTTCAGCAATATCCAGATCAAGAGTCCATCATTACAAAATCATCCTCAGTTATATGGCGAGAGCCTGAACGCCAGTCTTAGGGTGAGTTTTCACACACACGCACTAGCATGCATCTTTTTAAAAAAAGTTGTATTTTACATGAATAAAATCTATTACTGGACTTAACAATCTTACTCTGATTTATGATGTCACATCTCATGATGTCATGTCAGTGACTTATGGCAGTCTGGAACTATTCTCGTCCTTGTTAAATAATCTGTACAGGACATGGGACAGTGTGATCAGATATGGTCCACACATGTTGTTTCTCGATAATGAGGCAATGCACTGCGTGTCGTAATTGTGGATCATACTTCACAGTTATGTGTTGTCGCAGTTGAAAATTAATGTCCACAGTTTCAGCATAACATTTCTCTCCAAAAAAAAAAACTCCATAAATACAGTTGCTCATATTTATTATCCATAGTCTTGGCATCACATATCAGTATGTCAAAGCCAGAGGCCAGTACCTAACAGAAAAGTGACCTGAGATTTGATTTAGACAACAAACTTGAATGGTAATAATTGTGTTTACAGGCTGCTCTTGCAGAGAGCAATTTCCCATTGTTAAGTAATTCTGGCAGCAGTATGGATGAAGTGGAGGATCTGTCCATATCTCGTCAGACCAGCCAGAACGTAGACGACACTGAGGGCTTGGCCACAGAACCCTTAAGGTAAAGTGGATATCTTTAATTAACAGCTGTCCTGGATTATTTCCTGAAACGGGATATTAAGGTGTAATATTTGTGTCCCCATAGCCCCCCCCCCCCCCCATACAGAGCTGGGTACCTTCAGTCTTGCAATTTTTGAGAATTTTATTAAAAGGTCCTCTTTCATCTCTTGTCATTCTGCAAAATATTTTTAATTCTTCTTTTGATTTGCACTGATGAACTGATTGTTTTTGTGCAATTTTTCCCCAATTGTCATTTTGATTTCTTAAAGTAATACTTTATCTTTTTCTTGATAACAGTGAATCAGAAGACAGTAAAAAATCAGAAGACAAGCGTCCAGAATACATGGCTGGAAACTCTCCCAATGATGTCAGCATGGAACAGGCTGTTTACCATGGCAACGCTGTATACAGCCAGCACGGGGAATCCATATACCACCATGGTGAGCCAGAGGATGCCGGGCTGGGGAAACCCTTACTAGCCTCTCCTATCAGACCCAAGGAAGAGGACGGCAGTGAGAGATGCGGGCAATACAATGGCGAGAGTTCTCCTCTGACCAGAGTCAGTGTGGAAGGGACAACTGTATGTCATGGGAGCACTATGTATACACATCACAGAGAGGCTGGCTATCACCATGGTGATGCTGAGGATGCTGGGATGGGGAAGCCTCGGATGGTTTCCATGGCAACGCCAGATGAGGCAGACATGATGAGGCCCCTGTCGAACCCCAGCATCAATTCACATTCCATAAGTGGAGACACCTAAGTTGTTGAAAACTGTGCAGAAGACAGAACTTTTTACGATATCACCAACTGGGCTGTCTTCTTCAAGAATAGAGAAAAGCAGATTTTAATCAGAAGAGAAGTTGCCATCTTTGCAATGCTGTTAAAAAACTGCGTCACACAAATATCAGGGAGCGACTCCCCAATCGTACTTTATGTATTGATAAATGTGAAAGTGCATTGAGTAGCAGAGGAAAATTTGACATTCAAAGACACTCAGCAATGAGAGGATTTATTTAACACACACTGTCATTGTTTCAGTCTCATTCTTAGCAATAACCAATTGTATTGAACAATTCTGACAGGGAAGCCAGTATTGTATAGACAAGCAAAGGCGAACATTTTCTCATGAGGGGCAACAAAAAATTATATTGACAGAAATCTGGAGCCACAATTGATGCCTGTCTGGAAACACTGGATTTACCATCAACATTTTGTTTCAGCAGGCATAAAAACCCAGATTAGATAGCATTGCAAGGCAAAATCCCATACCTGCTCCGATATAATGCAATGCAACTCTGTCATAGATGGCAGCACAAGCTGTCAAGATACCCCCCCAGCAATACTTGATATACAGAAAAAGGTAGCATAAGATAATACCACATGGTCACAATGGAAGATGCTGGTATATTTCAGTGTGTACTTATATTAAAGTTACAGGAAAAAAGACAGGACTTATTAGATAGTGAAAAAAATATCATATCATTATCTGGTAATACATACAGGTAATATCAGACCCCATTTTAATTGGTTGTTTTGTACAGTTCTATCGTACTCTGTATTGTGTAAGTGACGTCGGCTTCTGTAGTCCTTAGCAATATTGACTTGGTTTACCAGAGCTGCATTTACTGCTTTTATTTCCAGAATTATTTCATCAACTGGCACAGCAATATGGGATGTTTTTAGGAGGGGACATAAGGTGTAATTTTAAAATGAGGAAATGTGTATTTTCTAAGATTTATGATTTTGATAAAACTAGGGAAGAAGGACTTCTGCTTTAATCTGCCTATGATGTCCTGGCGTAGATAAAGGGTCCTGTAAGCATATATGTAGTAGACAGTAAATATTGGAACGCTTTCTCAGGGTAGCACAATGGCAAAACACAGCAGTGAGACCACATTGTTTCCAATGGTCCATGTCCTCTGAAGGACAAACAAAAATTATTTAGGTTTCTATGAATATGAACGGCCTGATTTAATAATGTTTGTTATGAATTGTTTTTTTTTTTTTTTTTTTTTTATTTACTTCTTTTATGTAATTGATGGAATTTTAAGGTCAAGAAATCTGACAGAAGTGCAACAGAAAAGGCCAGTCTTTGACCTCGCTGCTGGAAGTGTTTTGTTATTGTTTCACAGTTGCCATACCATTTCTATTATACACACACATATATAAGCATACACACAATATATATATAATTATTTATCAGTTGAGGTCCATGGATTAGCACTCCTGGTAATTTAGTTACATCTAAGATTGATATCGTGTATGTAAAACACTATATAGATTCTTCTCCCAGAGGTTCCCCATGTTTGTGTGTGTTTATGTGTGTGCAGAGGTTAGAAACAATGTGTAATATATCCTACATATCTCAGTATTTATATTTATTCATCAGTATTTTACAACTCTGCGAGGTTAACAGCTTTAAATGTGCTTTGCTTATAATCGGATACATTTTTTTCATGCCAAAAAATCCAGATTTTGAGACTTCCATTTGCACTTCTTGGTGAAAAGGCAGACCACTTTCCAGTATTACTTAACAGATAAACTTTTGGCATTTGGTTATATTTTCACTAGCTGCCTGGATATCTTTATTGTATATATTAACAGGAATGTAGGAGGATATTCACACTTGCTGGCCTGATAAGACATATTTGTCAGTTTTACGAGAAAAATATATATTGGGATTCCCCAGAGGCAGCAAAGTAATCCCCCAGCCGAACATGTGCCATGATTTGAAGAAAAGCTTTACAATATTCCATACTGTATATGCACTTCAATGTTATGTCTGAACGTGTTGTATTTATGTTAGTTGTAAATGAAATAGAGTCAGGGACAGGTGTGTCTTGAAAGTATGCCTCCCTCTAGTGTAAAGATAGTAGACTATTATGAGATGTCCTATTCGACATGACATCCAAACTGAATATTTAAATTATGCTACTGAGGACCAATGATGGATGAAATATGGGCGTGGCAGCGGCGTATGGCGCCAAACGGGTCTCCACGACCTAAGTGTGACGTCTACGTCACGTGCCCTACACGTGGCGCGAGACGTCATGGCGCTGTTTTGAATGGCGCTATTTTAGATTCTATGTCAACATAAGCGTGATGTCAATATGAAGTAAAGTAGGTGCTTTAACATAGTGGCAATTAGAGTAATTTTAAAGACAATTCATTTACCTGGCGGAGTCGGGTAAATCAAAGTGCCTTTTAGACTGCTGTTAGAACTGGAGGTTTTTATTGCACAAGCACGCTTTACAGTTAGTAGATGGTAGTTATTTTTTTCCAAGTGACTATTGGGTAAATACGTTGTTTGTACAGACTCTTGGCAATGAATATTATATAGGAAATGCTGTCTCAGTCAAGTTCATGGGGGACCCCAGCGGGGTTTTCACTTCTTTTACGGCAATGCCAAACCATCACGTGGGCTCTCTTGAGTTTAGGAATTATAAGTAATGATTGCTAAGCGCTTTGTATAGTTTCCACGATTGTTTCCTATGCCCTCCAGTCTCTCCTTACCATGTAGCTGACTAATAAATGAATGTTATTTAATGGAGACTATTCCTAGCCGTATGACAATAGATCAGGTGACCAGTCCAACCAGGTCACTTACCTTTTGAAAGGTCTCAGTTTAAGACTGCAACGTTGCTAAATGTAAGTTTCGGTATCAGTTATACATATTTCTCATGTAGTTGACTGTTAGCACAAATATTTATGTTAAAGACAGCGATAGATGTACATTCGACATTTGATATCTTGTTAATGATATTTGTGGAGCAACAGATTGTTATGCTAGCGTTTTGTTGGGCGTCCGAGTTGGATGGGTTAGTTCAGGTCACTCCCGAGTTAAGAGTGGGCGAGAGAAAGTGGACAGTTACAGAGTTATTACCTCGAGTATCTGAAATCTTGACATCACAATTTGTTTTGTAAAAGACTGAGCATCTTAGTCTTGAGTTGGTATCTATACGTGTAGAATTTTCAGAAATTGCTTTTTTTTCCACCTGGGAGGAGCGATCTGTGCCCATTGCCTGGAAGGCATTTGTACACGTAGCTGGTATTTCGTGGATGGTATCATTTATAAACGGAACATCCCCGTAGAAATTGCATCTTGTACTTGTTATTTATTTCATTCCTGCTTCTAGTGTCAAGGTAGCGTGTTTGTCACTGTATTGTAACATTCGGAACGCCTCGGTCGATTCCTTGACTCCCGATTTGGAGACGAAATTGACCGAGGCTGGCCGAGTGTTTGATGTAATTTCTAGAGGACCAATCAGGTAGCAGCAATATGGTTGCTAGCGTAATGACGTTGGTAGTCGTATGTAGACAATAAAAACAAAATAGAAATACAAAATCGAGCGTGTTTGTTGTTGACATACCCACTTTTTTTATCTGGTAAAACACGGTATAAAGCCGTGTAAAAACTAATAATTTTATTTACAAGTTTAAATACAAATTTTGATAATACTCTAGCCGATCAAAATTGATTTCTCAATAAAATTTTATTATACAGAGAGAAAGAATATAATTTTGTCTCGAAATACGCCACCAACCTGGTATTGAAACAATTTCATTCTTTCCTAAATACAATATACTAATGACGCTTCTCATTAATTCAAAACTATCCAATTGCGTTTCCAGCTTGGGATGGTCAAAACTTAACGCAAAGTAGTGTTCCTAAATTATAAATATCAAATAATTATTCCTATATGTACCTTTAAATGTTGATCTCATTAATTTTATATCCGTATCTCAAGGTTTAACTATATCTAATCAAACAATTTTATTATCACATTTTTTATCGGCGAATTGGAGCTCAATTTCAAGGTACGTTTTTTTTTTTTTTTTTNTTTTTTTTTTTTTCTCCAACAATCTAGCCTTAATGTATAGACTTTACATGCATATTTTAGACAATCATTGAACATTATGGAATGGAGTTTTACCATACAAAAGGTGACTTGGATAGATATATCTCTTTTAAGTTTCATTTCAATGCTAAAAGAGAACTTTTTCTATCAACATTAACCCTCTCCTCTCCCTGTCACCGCCACGTCTTCCCGTAGAGTTCAGAAGAAAATATAGACGTCCAGATCTTTAATTAGATTTATTTTATTTTTTCGTTTTTTAAAGTCCAAAAGAGGAAAGTTAAGTAGTTTTGAGGTATATGTAGACATGGAAAATATATATTTTGGGACATTTTAAAGCATTATCAGTACAGTATATCTTTGTGTTATCTGAACCAATCAATATACGTGTACATGTATCCAGATCAATTGTTGTATTAGATTATCATTTGCATCCACCAGCCCGTCTTTCCAAAACTTTAAGTATAACTCTGATTCTTTTGATTATCTTTTCCTCACAAGTATGTGTTAATACTGTGTCAATTTTGAAAAACTGCCAAAATCTCCTTAATGCTTAAATAAAATGGTTCAGAGTCCAGTTTGACGTAAAATTTGCCTTGACACGAGGCAAACATTGCTCTTCTCAGTCTTGATGAAACTATTCAAGATGTTTGATAAGACAAAAGAATATTTTCAAGGTGGGTTTTCTTCCCCTGTGATCATATTTTTGAGTATATAGGACTCAGTGAAGCACACAGGAGTCGCTGATCAGTGGTCTTGCACGTGTTTGACCAGGGAAGGCTCTCCGTCACACTGTAAGCTGGAGCCTGGCTTTCTGAAGAACTTTACAGGTTATTCATTTGAATATTTCGTATAATATTTGAGAGTTGAAATTCCATTTATAAATATGATTTATTTATTTATTTAATTTTTTGTTTAATTATTTCATGAATGTAGCATTATCAACAAAAACATTCAAGGCCGATGTTTTACATCTTTGTGCATGGTTTTTAAATTTCTGTTAAAATTGTTTTGCATTGCAGCATGAACAGCATGCGCTGTGGCAGCTATGGGGATAGTTTCTAATAAAGAGGAGAGGATTTCAGATGTCAAAGAATGTCTACTTTTACTGTTCTTGCGTCAGTATCAGCCTTCTTAGCTGAAGGTTAAGGGGTTTGTAGATAAAAAAAATCACTCTCAGCTGGAGCGAACCTCAGGATAGCAATACTAAAAGTATCGCAAGACCGAATTTTCATTATTTTTCCAGATAATGGCAGCGTAAGCAGCAATGTTAGAAAACGTGCGTTTCACTGTGCTATCGAAACCGTGTACCGAGATCGCAGTAGACAACTAGGGTCATCTTTTTCAGAAAGAAATTAAAGCTGCATGGCACTGGTAGAGAAAACCGACTTTTCAGTATTTCAGATATTCATAATAGTCTTTATTGGCACTGGCACAAGATTACAGAGGCTGTGACTTGACGACGAGTACGATTTTACAAAGTACTTTAACACGAGTACCCCTCTGTCACTTTGATTCTAGAATATTGATTTACATACAATATACTATTTGTAAGATTTGAGTCCTTTTTTTCTCTGTATAAATTTTAATCTCCACCCTTTCTCACAGTAGAAGAACATAAGTGACGTATGAAATTATAAAAATATCAGAAAGACCTGCATTAAGCCTTCAAGTTGGTTCTGTAAACTTTGTGATTTGAGGGAAAGTTGAATAAACATAATTAAGGCACATCATAAGTTTGTCAAAATAGTCACAAAACATGGAGCAAACGTGATTTGTGGATCTAAAAGTGTACTCCCGTATCACCTGTTATGGAAAATCACACGATAAGACTGTATACTTGGTAATTAGAATTCATAAATGCTTAATCCTCACACGCAAGTTGCGGTACCTTTAGAGATTGGGAAAGC